GCGCTAACAGTTTAGCCAGAGATGAGGGCTGGTGGGTCAGCTCAGTTGTTCAAGCGCCTGCTTGGGCAAACCCGGTCAGGTGCAGTGGACCGGGGGTTTGATGCTCAGCTCCACATGCCTTACCAGACCAGCCCTTAAGGCAGCCTGAGCCAGCAAGAAAAAAAATCTTTATCCAGAGAGGCCAAACAGGTTGACACAGAATTATCACTAGCAACCCAGGACACAGGACAGCAGAGGTGACCACTGCCGAAGGATCCCTGAGAAAGTGGTGCCAGGAGCACTGAGCAGCAGGACAAGATCCCAGGGAGGGGACAGGAGACAGAGGGGTGCCAGGGCTGGGATGCAGCTGGGGTGGGGAGGGGACCAAGAACCACGGTGCAATCATCTCCATGCGGAGAGGCAGGAAGGGTACCCTGGCAAGAGCGGGGACCCCGGCAGAGGCCACTCACCTTGGACGAGAGGTGCATCTTGGAGCATGGCGGCCACCTGCATCTCAGCACCAACCCTGGACACCCTGATGGCTCTGGTGGTGCGGCAGAAGGGCATGCCCAGCGTCTGCCCATGGCACAGGACAGCACACCCGCCACACGGCCCGGGCTCCTCCACTGCAGAGCCAGGTTCTCCATACTGTGGCTGAGAATGGCCCACGGGCCTCCCTGACATCACCCCAGGAGGAGCTCCTGAATTCCCAGGGCTGCAGCCTCACCCTGACCTTCCTCCCAGGAGAGCTGGTCCTGCCCAGGCCAGAGCTGGGCAAGCCCCAAGCCCTGCAAGAAGCCTGAGTTTGTTTGGTTTGATTTGATATAGGTTCTCACTATATGTGGCACTCACAGTGATCCTCCTGTGTCAGCCTCCCATGCGCTGGGACAACAAGCAGACCCCTGACTGCATATTATGCCACACTGGAGGACAGGTGCCTCTTCTGACCCAGGTTTGACAGCTCCGCACTGCACACCCCACTCTCTTCAGCTGGGTAACACCAAGAGCCTGCAGCTCTGGCAGCTCCTGGGGACCATGGCTCAGAGTACCTAGGAGAAATGACCCTGGACTTGGGGCACAGAAAGTGAGTGGCCCTGAATGTCCTCACTGCCAGCAGAATGCAACTCCACACGCTCATGCATGGCCCAACGGCCCTGCTAGAGGCCCAGGTTTTCCTTTGCACGTGACCCTGGTCCTACCTGGAATCTGGGGGCTCAGCCTGTGTCCTGTGGCATCTCCTACCTCCCCTCAAGGAAGACCCCATGGGAAGTGGCACACACTCTGCCAGCCTCCTCTCACTGTCACCCACAGAGGTGCCACTACTGCGCGTGAGTTACAGGCAAAGCAAGAAGAAAAATATTTTATTTTAAAAATGAAGACTCAGGGCTGGTGAGATGGCTCAGTGGTCTAGAGCACCTACTTGGAACAAGCTTAGCAAAGCGCAGGGACC